CATTCCATAAGAGGTTGAGCCTTTGAGGACTCAAGTGCTTTGCACATTTCCTATCTGTCTTATATGATTAGGATCCTTCTTGTGAGAACCTAATTCTTCCTTTGGTTGAATTCTGTGCATTCCATGAGAAGTTTGAGCCTTTGATGGACATCCTTGTGTTGATACACATTAACCTAGTACCTTAGATATTTATTAGGATCTAGCCCCTCCATCCTCTGTCCTATTCTTAGGATCCCTCTTATGAGAGCCTAATTCTTCCTTTGGTTGAATTCTGTGCATTCCATAAGAGGTTGAGCCTTGGATGGACATTCAATGACATAGTGGATTCCTTTGGTTTACACTATTTTCTCTTTCTCCTATCTGTCCTACATGATTAGGATCCTTCTAGTGAGAGCCTAATTCTTCCTTTGGTTGAATTCTCTGCATTCCATGAGAAGTTTAAGCCTTTGATTGACATCCTGTGCTGATACACATTAACCAGATACCTTAGATTGACACCTAGGTTCCACCATTCTCATCTGTCCTACATTCTTAGGATCCCTCTTGTGAGAACCTAATTCTTCCTTTGGTTGAATTCTTTGCATTCCATGAAGAGGTTGAACTTGGGATGGACTCTTGTGTTGATACACATCTAAACCTGATGTAGCCTTGGGATGATTTCCTTGTTGCTCATCTAGTTTATCTCTCTCCTTCATGATTGATTTCCTGTTTGCTGTGATGCATTAGGATAGACTTGCATGTGTAGATACTCTTAGGCTTAGGTGCATGACTGCATTAAAGGTTGAAGTGTACCTCCCTTTGCTTGATTGTTTCTTTTATTCTCTGTGATTGTTTGTTTGCATTAAAGGTTGAGGTGTGCCTCCCTTTGCTTGTGTGCTTTATCTGTGCATCCCTGTTTGCATCTCCTGCTTGCATTTAAAGGTTGAGCTTGTCTCCCTTGCTTGTACTGTTGCATTTCATCTGCATCCAATTACTTTATGTTTCACCTAGTTGATAGTTGTGTTTCTTTTTCCCCTTTGCATGTTCCCTTAGGACTCTCACTTCCTTGTGTAAGGACAATGATGATAGACTTTAGGTTGAATCCTTTGCATGATAACATATAGGATAGATTCCCTTTCAAACTCAATATTAGAACCATCTTGCAAGATAACATTAGGGATTTGATGTAGTTCCCTTGTAGATTCTTCTTTCTCTTCTCACCTTCAAACAATAACAAAACATCTAATAAAGGCAAGTTCGTATTGTATGCTACGAGCCTTAAGCTACTTGGGAAATGATAATTGAGCGGTCTCCTCTCAATCATCTAGAGTGTTTAGCGTACGTCCTTTGGGCGATATGCGACGCATTCGCTCCTAAGTCATAGACTCTAGTGTAATATGAGTTACAAACATTCATAAAAAACACTTCTTCTCCGATAAAAGACAAAAATAAACATCAAAATTCTTTTGCCCTTTGGGGCTCTCCCTTAATGGAAAACCTTTTCAGATGAAAAGAGTGCTATTAAGCTTCGGTTCTACCGCAAACAGGCGTTGTCCCTAACTGCTGGAACTGTAGTTTAACCTTACTCGGGTAAAAAACACGTGAACTAACCTGTGTTCCGTTTTATCTCGAATTACGTTCGCTCTGATCTCTCATACCTGTTGAGAGTACATATGCACAAGACGCGACGTCTTAGCGAACAACCTTTCCCCCTTCACTCGTAGTTAGTCGAACTACGTTGACTCTGACTTTCCCATTGCACGAGGGAATACGTAGGCCCAGAGCAGCGACGCTCTGTCGAGTCCTTTTCCTTTTTCTTTTTGACCTAAACCTCTTAGATAGATAGATAAACAACCCGTCAGATAAACAAACAAGCGTGGATCCCGTTGAGTACAACGGACGTGAGGGGTGCTAATACTTTCCCCTTGCGTAACCGACTCCTGAACCCGAGATTTGGTTGCGATGACCGATCGCTAGGTTTTTCCTGATCGTTTCCTTTCCCTCCTTTGGGATAAATAACGATAGGTGGCGACTCTTCTGTCTTTGCCGACACCTTTTTTCCGCAGTAGCGACAATAGTAAAGTACAAATTTTGTATTTATAACAAATCAAACATTTAAAGTGTGTTTGGGTGAAACATTTTAATGAAGAAAAATAATTTTTTGAGAGAAATTTAAAGGGCTAATAATGCTTTGAAAAATGGATTTTTTTTTTTGCATTTATGAAAATGGATTCTACAAGAATGTTTTTTTAAAATATTACAAATTTTTCTAAATTTATTTTTTTTATAAATTAAAAGATAAAATTTGACATAATATAACGTAAACATACATTAATGAAGATCAAAAATGATTTTTTTTATGAAAAGCTATTTAAAATAGCTTCAAAATTTAACGATTTTTTGAAATTTCGACATCCAAAAAAGTTTCGATAAAATGATGAAATACATAAAATAACATTTTAAGAATAATTATTTAAACCAAAATTTCATTTGAAATTTTAATGAAAAAAAATTTGTAAAATTTTTTTACACCAAAATATATTATACTATAAAAATCATTAAAAAAAATTAAATTAACGAAACCAAAATGACTTGACCAAAATCTATTGTTTTGATAAAAAAAAAACAAGGTATAGAGAATTGTTAAAATGATGTAAATTTATGAAATATTTTATTCAAGTTAAATTTAAGAAATTTCAAATGACATCAAAAAGTAAATAATTTGAAAATACTCATTCACTCTATATAATGTAAATTTTAAATTGTTTATCATTAATTTTTCAAATTTTGTAAAATGGTCCTCATATTTTATGGAAATTCCAAATTCATCCTAAAATTTTCAAAAAATTACAACTAAGTCCCTAATAATTTTCAAATTTTACAAATTGAACTCTTAAAATTTTAAAAAATTACAAATTGGTCCCTATTTTTCATATTTTAAATTTGGTCCAAAAGTTTTAAATTTTATGAAAATGACTCCAAAGTTTTTTCGATGAATCATTTTAATACTTCATCCAAACAAAAGAATTTAAAATTGAATGAATTTCAATTGAATCATTTGAATTACTTATAATTTTAAATTTCTTTAAAATTCTCAATTAACTCATCCAAACAAAAGATTAGTTTACCCACGCGTTAAAGATACTCCTAAGAAATAAACAAACATTCTTAATAAAATTGATAAACTAACTTGTGAATATAATAATAAAAATAAAAAATACATAAGTATATATTGTGCGGATATGAGGCATGGTGGGTATTCACCCCTCACTTGTACCTGACACTTCCATTTAGAGCGCTTTTATAATTATACCTTTTTGTAAAAATCGAATTTTTAAAAATTTATCTGATTTTACTGAAAATTTGAAATATATATCAGAAATTTTCGAGATTTCTATTTTTTTATTGAAAATTTCAAAACTTTTAATAAAAAATAAAAAATTTCAAAAAAAAATGAAGAATACCGGAAATTAAATTTTTTTTATTGAAAATTTTGAAATTTATGAAAATATCTTTTTATACTATTGAAAATTTCAAAATTTTTTATAATGTAAAAAAAATTATAGATTTTCTTAAAAAATTTCGGTATTCTTTATATATTTTTTTTAAAAAAAATTATTTTTTATCAAATAGTTTAAAAATTTTGGCAATGTAAAATTTTTTCACTTGTTTTAAATTTTTTTTAAGAATAATTTTAAAATTATAAAATTAGAAGTGTCAGGTTTAAGTTGAACAACCTTGTATTAAAATATCTATATTTATGTTCATACTCGTTTATTTTAGGGAATAATTATCTATATTTTTTACATATTTTATAATTTTTACAGTATCCGGTTTGAATAAATAAGTCTAATTGCCATGCTTATTTGAACATTTATTAAGAAGACTTTTTTTCTTTTTTCAAACTAGAGTATTTTGGAATTTTATTTTTAAAACGATTATTTATAAAAATAAAAAATTTAAGAATATAAGAAGAAAAAAAAGAAGGAAATTTTGATGTTATAATAGAAAATGTTGAATCGGGTAAATGGCAGGCTACTGTATGTAGACAGATGATATACAGTGACAGTAAAAGAGAGAATTTAATGATAGGAGAAAAAAACATAGTAGAAGGAACAGTGAATCTTAGGCAGATGTAAATTTCCCTCCTTGGTTGTCCGAAAATGAAATGCTTTGGTCTTGTGGTCTCCACCTAACAACAATAATCACACAATCTTCTCTCTCCTACTCTCTCTCTCTCTCTCTCTCCTACACTCTCTCTTAAAAGGACACCAAAAAATAATGACGGTTGTGTTCTGATTGATTGAATGAAACTGAGAGAGAGAGAGAGAGAGAGAATCATATCATAGGGTAAGGTAAAGCAACAGTAGCATGGTCACCAAGTTACTACTTCAATTACTACTACTACTAGTAGAAGAACAATAGAACATCACCACCACAATCAAACAACCATTGTTTGTTTCTCATTTTTCTATAACTGGAAAACTCACCCACCACTCTTAAAAAACTAAACTTTATCCTTAAACACACTGTTTTCTTATCTGGGTTTTCTGAGATCCGTTCTCTCTTGTTTTCATAAGATCTGTTTGCTTGTTTGCTTGTCAAGTTTTAATCTTTTTCTTTTTTCATCTTCTGGGTCTTGTTGATAAATTTGGTTGGTTGAGGGAAGGAATATAAGGATTGTTGTGTGCAATGAAGTGTTTGGTTCAAGATTGGAACATGGGGTGTTGATGAGAAACGAATGAGGCATAAAGTGATTGTTTTTTGTTGTGAAACTGGTTTTGGTTGAGGATTCAAGTGTAGGGAATCTTTTAGGTTGGTGAAAGGGGGTTAGATAGATATAGCAAAGAATGATATTCTGTTGTAAGAGAAAGAAAGAGACTAAAAGGGTTTGTTTGTGGTGGGAGTGTCATTTTCTGATAACTTTGTTGCTTAATTTGTCTACTTAGAGAGAGTGTTTTTGATTGTCGCCTCAATTTTTGAACTTTACAAATTTCTTATAACTTTTTGTTTTTGCTCAAATGAGACTCTCTTCAGCTGGTTTTAGTCCTCCACCACCCCAAGAAGGTATGTTCACAATTGCTTGCAATTTCTTCTTCCTTTTTCTTTTCAATGTTATTGGTACTTCAATCTTTGAGGGATTAGAATGTATTATTTTCAAATTTTTCATTGAAGTTTTTGTTATTTAACTAAGGAATTTGGTTTGATTTGTGAAATAAGCACTTTTAAGATCTCGGATTTGGCAGAGTATCCCATAAGCTATGAGTTTTTTTATATTACATGACATTGGGTTGGATTTTGCAGGGGAAAAGAGAGTTCTAGATTCAGAACTTTGGCATGCATGTGCTGGCCCTCTTGTCTCTTTGCCAGCAATTGGAAGTAGAGTTGTGTACTTTCCACAAGGTCACAGTGAACAGGTGAGTAAACAATATTATGATGTTAGATTATTGCATTTTTTAACTAATTACAAGAATAAAGTAATACTAGGAATCTCATTTTTCTGACCATGAGTACCTATGCAGTCTCTTGTCTATCTCTTTTATGTTTTTCTACCATGGTTTTAAATTTGGGTCGCATTCGCATCGCAACCTTTAGTACTGCAGAGAATCGCCGTCAAATAAAGCGTATACTATCCAAATCCGGGTTGTAGAGACAAAAAAAAAACGACGTGATCAAAGACCATTTTTTATAACATCTCTATGTTCATTATTGCAAATGCTACGCACATGTCGTAACTTTGCATTTTTCTGCACAGGTGGCTGTGTCAACCAACAAGGAAGTGGATGCTCATATTCCAAACTATCCAAGCTTACCTCCTCAGCTTGTTTGTCAACTTCATAATTTGACTATGCATGTATGACTTGTTTTCTTTTGATCCGTTTTTCTTATTTTCTTTCCGTTATCTAATTGTTTTTTTAAATCTAGGCTGATGTGGAGACCGATGAAGTGTATGCGCAGATGACACTGCAACCATTGAATGCCGTATAAAACACTAACTCGAGTAAACTGGTTTTGCAAATTATATGGTTACGTGCATTTTCAAGTGTTTAACTATCTGTGTTTGCAGCAAGAGCAAAAAGAGGCTTACCATCCAGCTGAGTTGGGAACTCCGAGTAAACAGCCAACAAACTACTTCTGCAAGACCTTGACTGCTAGTGACACAAGCACTCACGGGGGATTCTCTGTGCCTCGTCGCGCGGCTGAGAAAGTGTTTCCTCCATTGGTAAACATTATTTTTTCAAATTGTCATACTACATAACTTAAATTTATTTACTCAATCGATCAATTTCTCAAGTCTTTATAATTGTGACCTGCAGGACTTTTCCCAACAGCCTCCTGCTCAAGAGTTAATAGCAAGGGATTTGCATGGCAATGAATGGAAATTCAGACATATATTCCGGGGTGAGTTGCAAAGATGATTTTCATTTTAATTACTAATGTCGCAATTGTTTTTAAAATCTTTGAAATTTTTCCTCCTTGCAGGGCAGCCGAAAAGGCATCTACTTACGACTGGATGGAGCGTTTTTGTGAGTGCTAAAAGACTTGTTGCTGGTGATTCTGTGCTGTTTATCTGGCAAGTCACCTTGGATTTTGTCATGTGACTTCAATGTCATTTGACCTTGCAAATATACTAAAACATTGAGAAGTGTGGTTGATTCTTAATTATTGCATTTTCTTATGTTATAATGAAACGTTCGATTTGTTATTTATTGCGATGTCTTATCAATGGTGTAACTCAATTGCATCTTCTTCAATAGGAATGAAAAGAACCAATTGCTTCTTGGCATACGCCGTGCTAGCCGACCACAAACGGTGTTGCCTTCATCGGTGTTGTCAAGTGATAGCATGCACTTGGGACTTCTCGCTGCAGCAGCTCATGCGGCTGCAACCAATAGTCGTTTCACTATTTTCTATAACCCGCGGTATGGATAAACATATAAATTATAATGCACATTTGCAAAAGATTTTTGTTACGGTAGATTTCTTTTGATTGACACTATTCTATTCTTGATAAATTCAGTGCTTGCCCGTCAGAATTTGTCATACCCTTAACGAAGTATGTTAAAGCTGTGTATCATACTCGAGTTTCAGTTGGTATGCGTTTCAGGATGCTGTTTGAAACAGAGGAGTCTAGTGTGCGACGGTAAGTCTTTCAAATTTTGTAAACTTTTTGATACATTTTATAATATAATTATATAACACCAATATATTTTTCTTGTGCAGATACATGGGTACAATAACTGGCATCAGTGACTTGGATTCTGCTCGGTGGTCAAACTCACATTGGCGCTCGGTAAAGGTTTGTAAGAAAATACTGTCGATATTTCAATATATTGACTTGCCCGTTGCCTTGGATGTATGATTTCTGATACAATTTTGACTTGGATTGCAGGTTGGATGGGATGAATCCACTGCCGGAGAAAGGCAACCTCGAGTGTCTTTGTGGGAAATTGAGCCATTAACAACATTTCCTATGTATCCGTCTCCGTTTCCCCTTAGGCTTAAACGACCGTGGCCTTCTGGTTTGCCTTCATTCCATGGTTAGCTTCATGTCAACCTAATTTAGTTTCAAATTTCTAAGCTAATTACATTTCTAAAGATTCGTTTATGCGTCAAAGGCTCAATTTTCTTCAACTGAACTGATGGCAGGCATGAAAGATGACGATTTTGGCATGAATTCTCCTTTGTTGTGGCTTCGAGACAATGATAGAGGACTTCAGTCACTTAATTTTCAAGGGATTGGGGTTAACCCTTGGATGCAGCCGAGATTTGATCCTTCCATGCTGAATATGCAAACGGATATGTATCAAGCTGTGGCTGCTGCTGCACTTCAAGACATGAGGAGTGTCGATCCTTCCAAACAGCATCCTGGTTCCTTGCTTCAATTTCAGCAACCGTCAAATTTCCCGAACAGGACTGCTGCTTTAATGCAGGCGCAGATGTTGCAACAGTCACAGTCTCAACAGGCTTTTCAAAATAATCAGGACAATCAGAACCTGTCGCAATCTCAGCAACAAACTCAGACTCATACTCAACAGCATCTGCAGCACCAGCACTCATTCAATAATCAGCTCCATCATCATAACCAGCAGCAACAACAACAACAACAGACTCAGCAAGTGGTGGATAATCAGCAGATTTCTGGTTCGATCTCTACAATGTCGCAGTTTATTTCAGCGCGTCAACCACAATCACCACCACCTATGCAAGCTCTCCCTTCGCTATGTCATCAACAGAGTTTTTCTGATTCAAATGTAAACTCTTCAACTTCTATTGTTTCTCCTTTGCACAGTATCATGGGTTCGTTTCCGCAGGATGAAACATCCCATCTTCTAAGTCTTCCTAGAACAGGCTCTTGGGTTCCTGTTCAAAATTCAACCGGTTGGCCCTCGAAGCGTGTTGCGGTGGATCCACTCCTTTCTTCGGGAGCTTCTCAATGTATTATGCCCCAGGTGGAACAGGTAGGGCAGCCGCAGAATACCATATCTCAAAATGCTATTACGTTGCCACCGTTTCCTGGTAGGGAGTGCTCGATAGACCAAGAAGGGAACAATGATCTGCAAAGTAATCTTTTATTTGGTGTCAATATCGATCCCTCGTCTCTTTTAATGCATAATAGGATGTCGAATTTTAAGGGGATTAACGGAAACAACAGTGACTCCTCAACCATGCCATATCATCAATGTTCTAACTACATGAACACCGCAGGCACCGATTCTTCATTGAATCACGGAGTAACGCCTAGTATTGGTGAATCTGGTTTCTTGCAAAACCTTGAAAATGGGGAGCAAGAAAGCAACCCACTGAACAAGACCTTTGTGAAGGTGTGATTTTTCCCAGTGAGATTATTATCGTCTCTAAAATCATGACTTCCTCGCTTCTTGCGTTTTTATTCAGTACATATCTTGTTACAGGTTTATAAAGCAGGGTCCTTCGGAAGATCATTGGATATCACTAAGTTCAGCAGCTACCATGAGCTGCGTAGTGAGCTCGCCCGAATGTTTGGACTAGAAGGCGAGTTGGAGGACCCTGTGAGATCAGGCTGGCAGCTTGTATTCGTTGACCGAGAGAATGATGTTCTTCTCCTCGGCGATGGCCCTTGGCCGTAAGTATCCCATATTCTACATTCTTCGCTTTCCTTTTAAATGCTACATTGAAAACTAGATAAACTCGGCAACTTTACTTTCTTACATGCGACCTCTCTTTATGACAGGGAATTCGTGAATAGTGTATGGTGCATTAAGATACTTTCGCCCGAGGAAGTGCAGCAAATGGGCAACACTGGCCTCGGGCTTTTAAACTCGGTTCCAATTCAAAGGCTCTCAAGTAGCATCTGCGATGACTATGTGAGCCGTCAAGATCCAAGAAATCTAAGCAGTGGAATAACAACCGTCGGATCCCTAGACTACTGAAAGATGTGACTGTTAATAGTCTGCATTTTCAAACACTTGGCCAATTATGGGAGGTGTTACCTAAATTATATTATTCTAGCCTTTTGTTTTTGTTCTTCTGTTATTCATGCTAGGATATTCATAAACGAATACTGTAACTATATGTTATCTTGTCATTGTGCTAGCTACAATTATAAACAATACTTAATCCAGTAGGAAATCAATGTGTGAAGTTAAGGCATATAGTTCTCTCTACAATTCAACTTATACCAAACTTTAAATTTAGTCTTGTTGACATTTGATGAGTTGTGGTTGAAGAATAGTTAGGTAAAATCTATAGCATGTGCATGGAAATAAATGAGCAATGGATATTTCAGATGATGTTGGACTAATGGACCTTATAGTGATGGGTAGAAGTGTAGAAACCATTTGGTGAAAAAAATAGGATGTGACCCTTTTGAACAATGAAGATGACATGAAATGCATGTGATGTGTCTCATGTTCTCTTTGAATTTAATGTGTGTAAGTGGCCCTCTTTTTGTCGTTTGTTGGTTTTGGCCATGCACCCTTTTTTCACCTTTGATGCAATGTTTTTGCTTCATCAATGGTATAAAGTGAAAAAAGATTTGGGTTCTCCACTTTGATCTTGTCTGATTCATCATATCCTCCTCATGCCCTCGTGTGTGTGTTGAAAGTATTTGGAATTTGTTAAACATCAAAATTGCTCGACTCCATTGTCTAACTTGACCTTTCTTGAAAAGGGAAAGTTTATGTGCACAAGACCGTCTTTGATGATGTGTCTGATGGCATGTGTAAGATAGACTATTGCTCATGGTATAAGATTTGACATGTTTAAACTATGGTTAATAAGAGTCTCATTTTTTCCACGGTTAAACCATAACAAAACAAGACCCATATTTTATTTGGCATATACTTCAATTGTGGTTAATCTATTTCCGGATTTATTTTCATGGTTTATCTATTTTATAACTCTGATATGAATGGGTGGTAATTAAAGAAGTTGGAGTTAAGTACAGGTTTGTGCAATTTATTTTGATGCATGTTGGGTAGGGTTGCCTAATTTGTAGGGACTTTTTTCAAGGTATGGAATGGTGACAAGGTAGGGCAATATCTAAAATAATAATAGTACAATGTAAATAAAGAGTTGGCAACCAACGACCATAACCCCACTTTATATTTTAGGTGAGGAGTAACTATTGATTCTTATACTTGCTTTCTATCACTTTATTTCTTGGGACACACTCTACTCTCTAGCTTTGCTATGTCACCCACACTATGACCAAAAAGTTTGTGATTGTGATAAACTTGTGATTGGATCTTATATGGCTCATTGTTTGTGGAAATTGTTGTTGTACTTGTATTATTTGTCATATAATGTTTATGTTTATGCATTTGTCTCTTTAACCTACCATCAAGTATGTTTGATTATTATTGATCGGATTGGGCTGGAGATATTGGTCGAGTTGATTGAACAAACAAGTTGATAAATCAAGGATTGGTATTTTCAATTGTTATGGGAAAGAAGCCAAAATATCAAACATAGTACCAAAAGAATGTTCTGTAATTTTCCTTGTGCATGTACATGGTTGATGTGTTTTACTATATATCACTCGTTTGATATAAGAGTTACATTAGGCTATTATAACAAATTCTTACTATAATAAAAAATAAAGCATAGTAAGGACTAAGTATATTATTTAAGTAGAGAGTTGAATACTTATAAATGACATTAAAATTTTAAGTTATTTTGATTAGGCCATTCCAATATATTTGTAGGCTTGAAATAAAACTAAACACAGGGGATTGTTTAATATATTTTATGAGTTACTCACACATTTTGGTAAAATTTTAGAAGTAATTTAAAAATCTAGATTTTTAAAATTTGGATGCACTTAATACACAACAAGCTCTTTATGGAACATGCCAAAGCAAGAGATAAAAAAAATCGGATTTTGGAATTCGTATTCATAAGTTACGAAGATTGAAATTTTACTGTGCCTCAACCCATCACATAAATACATATTCTTATACCCACTAAATTTAAAAATATTCTGGATTTCAATGTTTGGACTTCCTATAGAAATTGGAATTTGGACGCGTCTGTTTAAGTATATGTGTCTTTCCCTCTCCCTTACCATTTCTATTGTAAACAGAGCAAAATCATAGCTTCTACTCATTTGCATTCTCATAGTTTGTTTCATCATTTTCAAGCATTCATAGAGGTTCTATTCCATTGCATTGAAGCTTAACACCTCTTTAAAGTTCTACTCCACTACATTACATGTCTCTGATGTTCTACTCCATATTGCTAAGTTGTTCATTCTCTTTTTTTATTTGACATGCATGCATTACCTAAATAGTTTATAGTTATGATAATTAGAGTCTGTGGTTCGTGCCTAATTTGTTCAGAACTTTCTGATTTCTCCATTTTGCACATTGGGTCTTAGGGTTCGTGCTTTGTTTGTTTACTTCATTTTTGCTTGCTCAGTGCGTATGATTTTGAAACAGCAAACATGTCAATTTTTGCATATTTTGGAGCTATGAGTCGACCATACAGTCAGCTCATGGATCAAGTCATTTCCCACTGGTCAGCACACAACAACCATGAGTCGACCATACAGTCAGTGTAACAACCCAATTTTCAATAATTAATTATTTGTGTTAATTAATTTATTTATTTGGATTATTCTAATTATTTGAATAATTAGATGATTGTTTAAATGGATTGATAGAAGTTTTGAGAGAGGAAATATATTTGAAAGAAATAAAGAGAAAGATATATATATATGAGGAAGTGGAAAGAAAAGAAAAGAATAGAAAACATAAGAGAAGAGAAAGAAAGAGGAAGAAGAGAAAAGAGAAGGAGATGAGGAAAAGCTTGGATTCATCAAGAACATCCTCTGGCTTCAATTAATCTAAGGTAAGGGTGTGAAATCTTACTATCTTAATCATTGTGTATGATTGTGTATGTGTGTGGATGAGTTTGGTTGTTTTCCAACCTTATTTCCATTTAGGTCGAAATGATAGAAATCGATAGAAGCCGATGTTCGGACGGTTAGAATCGAGAATAACTTTTGTAGCTTAGTCGGGATATGTTAGACTAAGATTATTGGAACTAGTTTGGCGAAAATCGGGTGATATTGTGAGTTTCACCATTTTCGGTTAAATTGAGGTTAAGATTTTGAGTGGAAATCGAATGTCGTGAAAGTTGAGTTTTATGACCCTAAAATATCCGTATATAATTAGTAAGGATAGATAGGTATTTAGTCGGGTGAAAACTATTTAATCGGGCGACTTTTTGGGGCTTTTAAGCCCGAATCCGTAGCTGTTTTTCTGAGTTTTTCAGGTGTTAATCGGTTAACCATATACGTTAACCGATTAACACAGTGTTAGGGGCCTAAAAACTGAGTTTTTGGTCTAAAAACTGAGTTTTTGGAGGTGTTAACCGGTTAACCATATACGTTAACCGATTAACACTGTAAGTGTGAGAAAATATTATTTTTCAAAACTTCGAAAATTCATAACTTTTTCACCGTTTATCGGATTTTGACGTTCTTTATATCAAAATGAAGCTAATAATATGTTCTACAATTTGATGAAAAGAAATATTATTTTTAGCCAACTTTTAGCCGATTTTACCGATTAGTCGGGATTAATGATTTTGAGTGAGAAGAGCTTATAATAGCTAGGGCGTCCGGTTGCGATCGGCCTCGTCTCGTAAGGATAATTTGTGTGTTATTAATTATTGTGTTGTGGGTAGCCGTAAGGCGTGAATCCTAGTGTATGAATATGATTTTGAATCGTGGCCTTTGGGCAAATTATGCATTGTTTAGAATTGAATAAAAATACATGGCAATTGTGATGAATGATGAATATAATACACATTGTGAGGGCATAATGATTGTACGTGTTGATGTGTGAAGAATGCATGATAATATATTTGCGAATATGTATGCAGTTTGTGTTGATTGATCCCGTGTAGGATTTGCAGAGACATCGTGTGCCCATGTGGGGTGTGAGCGATGGTCTATAACTGATTGAGTCATTTTGTATGAGAACCATGTATGAAATGGTGTGAAATAAATGATGAATATATATATTTGCATTATGATATATATGTTGTGAATGCATAATAAATGTATGCAGTGAAATGTGATAGATGCATGAGTATGTTTTTAAACATGTATGCATTTCGTGTTGATTGATCCCGCGTAGGATCTGCAGAAACCTCGTGTGCCCATGTGGGGTGTGAGCGATGGTTTATAGTTGATTGAGTCATGTTTGCATGTGAAGCATCATGATATGCATTTGTGTTATTTGATCCCGTGTAGGATCTGCAGAACCTCGTGTGCCCATGTAGGGTGTGAGCGATGGTTATATTTGATCCCGTGTAGGATCTGCAGAGACATCGTGTGCCCATGTGGGGTGTGAGCGATGGTCTATATTTGATTCCGTGTAGAATTTGCAGAACGATTATGTGCCCTTGTGGGGTGTGAGCCATCGGATTGTGTGTCCATGTGGGGTGTGAGAAATCCATAAACATTGTGTGCCCATGTGGGGTGTGAGCAATGGGTGAACATCGTAGGCCCGACGGGGAGTTACTTCGGTAACGAGCGATGGTTCCATTTTGGTTCTTCAATTGAACCTGTTGAATTGAGTCGGTACCGCATTTGCATCTGCATGGAGTCGTGAGTCGGTCTCTATGAGTTGCATAATTCATCTTTATATGATGCATTGGTGAAATAAACATGTATGTGAATGTTTATGTGAAATGGTGATGATATAAACATATTGTGTATATTTATGTGAACTAACGCGAATTGCGATAATGGCATGAGTGAGTATGCTTGAAGATATGTATATATATGTTATAGGTAATGATTGGTAAATATGAGAGTAATATAGATAATAATGTTTATGTGAAAGATTTGTACTCACTGGGGTAGAATGATAATGTGTCGTTCCTAGTGGAGTAATTACCGGGGTAGAATAACTGAGGT